CTAACCTAGGTAAGAGAGTCTTCTACGGGAAACAGTCCTGACCTGATAAGAAATTAGGCAAATCCATCTCTGTTTCCTACAAAATCTCTTTCTTTGCTCAGATCTTCAATTCTAAGATTCAAATCTTTTAGGATTTTGTGAGGAAAACAGATTTCTCTTTACATGTATTTCCAGATCTTTGATCTGGGAAACAAGGTCAGCTATTATGCACTGATTATGAGAAGTATGCATATTTTAATTAGCAATATTTCATAATTTTTCCCACTAGCTCTGTTCAAAAATATAATTTTAGGCAAGGATGCCTAAAATTGCATTAATGCATTGCATCACTTTGTTAGACACAAAATCTTTTTAGGAGCTTTTATCTCTAAGGCCTTGCAGAGATTGGGGCAATTGACATTTAGTTTGGAGCTTCCCATGATCATTCAGAAAATTGTTGTGAACCGTAAGTGAAAATGTTCTTAAGACATTGGCTAAATGTATTTGCTATAGGTCATATAGGTTAATATTACTGTACACATCCCATAATTACAGAGGGTCTTCTTGTTTGCTTTACTGTTTGAGAGAGCCCGATTTCCCTTTAGAAACATTTAGAATTGTTTTCCTGTAATTGTCCGAGCTATGTTATAATTGTGTCATATAATGACCTTTAAAAATGTGTCTAGTAAAGCCTGCAGCTGTTCCCTCCTTGGGTTCTCCCTACCGAGTTATATTTAAGCCAGTGTCTCTGAAACCAGGCAGTAATAAAAGGGATATTATCCTTAGCAAATATCTTAATCACAGTAAATCTCTGTTGCCCTACAAATGACTGCATGGGGGATTAGAGTGGAGTAAGCCATTTGCTGAATATCACTGCCACCTTTCCTAGGCCATTTAAGCGTGTTTAATTTTTCAGGGTGAAACATGAAACCCACTAGTACAAATGTTTGCATTTGGCCTGAATTATATCCAGACTGTAACAGTTAGAGCAGGCTTAGGACCAGATTGTGAGTGATCTGTAGGAGGCCAGTTCTGCTTGGGAGAGTGAGAGAGAAAAATGCACATTGGTTCCCAGCTTTCTTATGTCACTTACGCTGCCTTGGTTCTTTTCAATTTTTATGTAAGGCTATTGTGAGATGAAGTAGCAGTAAATATATGGATGATGCTTAGCTTTGTATTATTTAAACATCAATCATAGTCCTTACAGCCATCCAGTGCCTGGGAGGCACCAGTGTTTGTCTTTGGTTCATCCTGGCTAAGATGGAGGTGGCAATATCATGAAGCAAAAAATGCTTTCAGGGACTTGTGTCTTCCATAGCATCATTCTCTATTTATCCAGATTTCTATCAGGTTGCCCAGAAACACTGAGACTACCTGCTCTCCAGTGATCAAGCTTGAGAGAACCTTTTGGGAGACTGAAATACTATTGTGTATTTCATGCTTTCTTTATAGTTAATATTTTTTTCTTCCTTTTAAGAAAGCAGTGTCTCCTCTCTGTGCCAGCCCAAGCAACTGCAGCTCTAACCAGTTTGGACTCAGCCAGAGCCTTGGAAACTGTCAGCTCCAACAGGTGTTTCCTAGGGCACAATTTAGTTACTGTAATGTGGTATCTGTTTCAGGTGGCACAGTCCTCTTACTCCACACTGCAGTATTCCAGGAGCTCATCACCCTTAAACTGCACTGGTTCCCAAGGATTGTGCACTCAGGTTTGCCTCCCCAGTCTGATTTCTTGAGCCATCCCTCAGGCAGTTTCCCCCATAAGCCCTGAACATGACTTCCCAGAGTGGCTACAAGGGTATGAACTGCAAATGTGAGAGAGTTTTGTTGTGCAAAGGATCATGGAATCACAGAATGATTTGGGTTGGAAGGGACCTTAAGGGAACTAGGGTCATCTAGTTCAAAACCCCCTGCCATGGGAAGGGCACCTTGAACACTTCCAGGGATGGGGCATTGACAGCTTCTCTGAGCAGTCTGTGCCAGTGCCTCACTACCCCCACAGTAAAGAATTTCTTCCCAGTACCCAATGTAGACCTGCCCTTCTTCAGCTTAAGGCTGTTCCCTCTTGTCCTATCTCTACATGCCCTTGTAAAAAGTCCCTCTCCAGCTCTCTTGTAGCCCCTTTAGGAATTGGAAGGTGCTATAAAGACAAGCTGTTGTTGATGGTCTCATGCCTACTGGTCTGACCTTCAGTAGAGATGTGGATGTCTGTTTATCCTGGTGTCTTCTGGGCTCAATGTAATACTCACTGTATTTAAATACCAATCAAATTTCCAAATGGCAAGCCATGACCAGCAGAATTTAATAAATATTCTAAGGACCTTAAATCAGTCCACAGGACATGTGACTAAGCAATCAGTTATACTTGTTAATTGGGAGATGTAGCTAATAATAACCCAATTAGAAGAGGAAATTAAGTTAGTGCCTCGTAAGAAATAAGACCTTCACAGAGGACTCTTTCATTAGAGACTTCAAAATTGTTCTTTTTCTGAAGTTAATCAATTAATTCATGTTTCAACCACTTCAGCCAGTCACAAGTATTCTCCTTTTCTGTGATACCAGTTTAACATTAGCTGTGTATATCTTGTCCTATTGGAGACTTTTGTGCCTTTGTGCTTTTAGCTTGAAATCGTGGGGTTTTTTTCCCTAAGGAGAAAAAAAAGTCCATTAAGTCTATAAGGTTCTATTATACTCTGTTAAATTTTATACTGTATAGCCATGTTAAACTTGGATTTAATTTCCCTCACAGAGCAAACAAAAATCCTATGGGAAACAATTATAGGTGAAGATGAAATTCCTTAGTGTGTTCAGTGTATTTTTCATACGCTTTCCTGGTAATTGTGAATTAAGTACCTACGTAGGTAAACCAGTGTTCACAGCTGTATGAAGTTCTTCTCTACCTACATACTCTGAAATTGCCAAGAGCTTCTATTTCTGATTTCTCTCACTGTTTTACACACTCAGTTGGTCATGGGTTTATCCCTATAGGAATTGCTGAAGGATGTGTGTTTGCACAGACTCTCCCATGAATGACTTAAGTCTTAAATCTGTCTTCATCTACAGGGATGGATCAGAGAGTGTTTTCACATTTGACATATATTCTAGAGGTTTGAAAAGTTATCTGCAGTGGGATAAAAACTATGATTTTTTGGAGTTTTTTTATAAAAAGGCTGCAGAATGTGAAGGAAGCTTATGTTCTGGAATAGAGTCGAGGGTTAAGATTCTCACATGGACTGTGAAGGGATTTCACATTCCAGGTGATGCTCTGATTGCCAGGTAATAGGCTATTTTGAGGGGGCTATTTTTGGCTTCAAGTAGGAATTTTCATGTTGAGCATGAGGAGTCATTTTGTTCTAAGATGTTTCTTTCAGATCACCATGTGTTTGTTTTGGTACAACACATGTTTTCTCCATGCAGTTTCTTCTGAAAAAATATAAGCTAAAGTAGAAATTAGCCCTCCATTGAGCATGGATTAAAACAGCTGATCTCCTGAGGGGTCTTCCAGCTTAAATTTTCTATGATTTAACTTTGATGGAAAATTCCTCTCCACCTCCAATAAAGAAAAAAGATTTTTGAACTTAGAGTTACAATACAGTAAAAAACCTCAAACAAAACCTTAAGTGCTAACTGCCATGGTCTAAACACACAGTATTAAACTGTAAAGTAATTATTAGCTACTGTTCTCTGTTGCTGAGTAGTTTGATGCATATGGACTTTGCCTAAGTTCTCATATATATACATATATATATGTGTGTATTAGACACAGAGAACCAGTGTCAAGGAGAGACAAAAGTCACATCTATGCTAGGAAACAACACAGGGCCAGAAGCCCCATGCACTGGCTGATGGTTATGTGTTTGGTTGCTTGTGTGTTCTGTGGCACAACTTTGACCTGGTACAACTAGAGGCATTCAAGATGGCATGACTGATCATTCTTGGGAGGTTACCATGGGTCACAGAGCCTTTCCATTAAGCAATCTGGATACTGTTGTGACTACATTTCTAATGGTAAGTAACATAAGCAAGTGGAAGTGCACTCTACAGAGGCTGGGGAGGTTGAGATTATGTTCCTGGCTGTGCCCTGAGTTGGCTGGGGTGACCATAGACATGTTACTTCAGGTTTTTAGTCTTTTTATGGCACTTGTGTTTTCTTAGTTGCTTTCTTTCACACTTGCAGATCTCTAGCTGTAAAGACTCAGCTCTTCAAAATAGTGTTTGTTTTCCTTGGTGTGTTGGCAGACACACATAGAGAGAACCTATTCTAAATTGGGACCTCTAGAGGTTCCCATAATCTAAATAATAATACTAGAGAGGGGGGAATGACATGTGATTCCTTATGAAATGCTTGTCCAATCTCTTTGAGAGATGTAAACAGAGTGACTGTTCTGTGTGTGCCAGCCTTACAAAAACAGGAGTGTATTTTGCATTCTTGGACTGACCATTTCAGGAAGGATTTGGGGAGCAGCTTTCTTATACCTGTGTTTACAACAGGCAAGAGCTGCTTTCATCATAAATGAATTTAGTGTAGTTCCTACTGGATCTGCCAAAGGAGAGCTTCTGTGAAAAAATAGCTATCAGGCATGATTAGGTTTGCATTTTAGCTGCTGTGATGTGAATAAACAATTGGCACATCTGTGGATGACAAAGGCTTTTACCTTCCCTTGCCACAGGCTTCTAATATCACCGTGAGGAAATCACTCAATTGCCTTGCCTCCTCACATATTTGTCTGCAACATGAAACTGCTGGCTGTTTAGTGGAACTGACACATGCTAGGTTAAAATATGTTCATTAAATGTGCTGATAATACCTGAGAGAGAATGCATGGTGGGAATGATCAGTGTTCCTTAGCAAATGCAGTGCTGATTTTGGGGTTATGCTGGCAGCTGATGTGCATCTCTGGGCGTGTGCCCAGAATCACTGCTGCCTCTGCCAAGCTCACACCGTGGGGAGGTGAGAGGTCTCCCACCCTGCTGAGTGCCTGTCTCTGGATCATCTCAGTAATTAAGTGTTTGTTTCCTTCCAGATGAATACAAGAGTAAAGTAGCCTGTGAAGACGACAAGCTGAGGCTAAGCTGTAAGAAGAGCATGGTGATAGCCATTTACTCTGCTATCTTTGGGAGGACACAAGGAGGCAGCCTGGAGTGCCCATACCAAAACCTAGGGATGCCCATGATTGGTAAGCAGGGGAATGGCTTGACAGAGCATGCTGATCTGGGCAGGGTGATTTCATTTGCTGTCGTCAAGGTAGAGCTGGCACAGATTCCCATTAGAAAAGCAGGACTGAGACATGCAACCTGCCATGATGGAGCTCCTGGTGTGTTGTACCTTGGCAACCAGCAGTGAGCTTCATCATGAGCACCAAACTGAGGTGTCCTAGCCAAGTTATCAAGACACAGGCTTTTAGCAGATTCATCAGATTATTTGCTTGAAGGTCTTTGAATTTCTTGTTCAATTTTCTGTCCTCCTGGTGGTTCATACACTGAACCTCTGACTAAATATGGAGGAGCATATTATTGGTGGGTCGTGGACCATCTGTGTCCATTGAAGGCTTGACATTGTTTAAACTTATACTGAAGTTAAAGCAAGGGAACAAATTCAAAAAGCAAGTTAAGCTTCATCATGCTACGGTTGGCTTACAGTACCTCTCAGGCTATCATAGTCTCTTAAAGTTATGAGCTAAAGATAAATAATTGAAAAACATTCACTAGAACTGTCTGTTCTTGAGCCAATGTGAAATGACTTTGAATATTTTAGGCTATAGCAGAGAGAGCAACAGTCTGCAGTACAAAACTCTGTGTTCAACATTCCTCATTATCCTTCTCTGCAGAGTTGAGAGGGAATCAACTGGTTTCCCAAAGGAATCTCCTCCAGAGGGGAAAGGCTTCAGAGGGGACTGTACAGAGAAACTTATGTTGCTGCTCTTGCCTGTGCTAGGTTCTGTGCATTTGTATCTGGGGATCTTTGGCTTCACAGCTGCTGATCCAGTGCCCTAAGGAGTTAAATGCTATTCAAATAGAAGCATGTGAAGTGACTGCTTGGAAGTATGACATGCAGATGACGGGTGTCAGGAGGCAACCACAGGTGGAATCAGGCCAGTCAGGTTATTGGTGCAGCATGGCAAATGCCTTAGTTGCATAGTGTGAAAATCTGAGTACCTGCTACATGAGTAGCACAGGGTCTCCTACCCAGTCCCATGGCCAGATGCATGACTGCAGAGTCAACATTATTTAACAAGTTACCTCCCATCTCCTGAAGTGACTGGTGTCCCTGGATGTGCTCCTGTTGTCCCCCAGGCATCAGGGTGCAGATGCTGAGACAGGTATGTGTGACAGGTTAGCCTAGACCTCTTTCCTGTGGTGTTTGGAATGGGTTAAGAGTGTGTGCAGTGGTTCCTGTGGAAGTGCTGCTAGGTGAGAACTTGCTGAGTCAGTGAAACTGGATGGATTTCTGGAGTAAGTCTGAGCACCCCACTCCTTTGTCCTTGCTGAGAGAGAAGGAAGAGGCACATACCAGTGGCAAGGTGCCAGCACAGAGACCCCGTCTGCAATGTTAACATGAAGTAAAACTCTACATGAAGTCATAAAGGCAAAGTTTTACTCTTCTTTGCCCAGATACAAAGTCCTGAAACTTGTACTGGCTGAGAGCTGGGTATGTAGCACCAGAAAATGGGACAGGAGACAGTGGAGCTGGGAGAGCAAGCAGCAGGGTCTGACAGCAGGCCTGTAGATGCCATAGCATCTATAACGCTTGTATGCCCTTCTGTTTTCAAACTGGTCATGTGAGAGCTACAAATTGGGATGTTTGCCCAAGAAAATTAGGTGTCAGATCCTAGAGTGCAGCCCCAAAGTCTGCTGCTGGGATCAAGGCAGGGCCTTTCTCCAGTGTCAGTGTCACTGTTTTCTTAAGTGAAACCAGTTACGAGTGTGAACTCAGTACAAGGCACTGTAACACCAAGCCATGCGTGGGAATGCTGAGGGAGCTTTACACTAAAATCCAGGACAAGGTTTTAAGCTGTGAACTGATGCTAAAAATGACTGAGTTACTGGACATGAGCAAATATCCACATGTTTGCAATTTCTGGGGTCTCAAGCATCTTAAGTCAGCCTAGTGCTGCTGGGGTGCCAAGGGAGTAGGTGTCTCGCCTTCATAACAACAAAGTGGGAATGGTGCCTGGGACAATGTCTGGCTGCATGCCCTGCATGGCTGGGGAGGATAGGTGAGGAGCTCGCCATGGAGCAGTGGCTTCCCCAGGTTTACCCAGGTGCTTGGACACTGTGTGTGTAGGGTGTAAGACAGACTATAGCTGTTGAAGCTGATGTTTCCCTGCATGCTGAAATCCCGAGTGTGAGTGTGGGTGTAGGTGTGAACTTGATTAAAAAAAAAAGAGAGTAAGCAGGTGGTCTTTCAACTCACCATGCTCCAGCCCTCAAATCCTAGTGGTTCTGGTGGCTCAGGAGAAGAGTGTGCAGCTGCTGCCACTTTAGTGGCACAGAAAACTGTGGAATTCAAATCAGCCAAACAAATGGAAAATCTCAAATGTTTGGGATTGGTTGTTCAGGTCTCTTCAGCAACACTTCATCATAGAATCATAGAATCACAGAATTTTAGGGGTTGCAATGGACCTTACAGATCATCTAGTCCCAACCCCCTGCCATGGGCAGGGACACCTCCTCACTAGACCAGGTTGCTCAAGGTCTCATCCAGCCTGGCTTTGATCACTGCCAGGGTTGGGGCACTTGCTACAGGCAGTTTCTGCTTATCATGACCTTCATGTACTTGGGTACTGACCTAACAGGACAGTGCTCCAGTTATGCAGGAACAGGAAGGTGAATTGTGGCTGTGGTTAGCGCTCCTCTTCGCCCCACAGGAGAAACTGGTGTAGGATCCATCTGCAACCCAAAGCATCAAAAAGCATATTCACACTGCGCTTTCCCATGGCACGCTGCAAAAAATCACAGTCCTGCCTACAGTTACAGCAGTGAAGTGAGGGGGTTGTGCTCCCAGCTGCCACAAGTAATCATGGGAGCAGCATTCAGGGTCCCCCAACCTGCTCCAGAAACTCTGCTTCAGCGACAGGCCTGCTTAGCCCAGCAGGCAACTCTGTTCCTTCAGAAGCAGGTGGAAATATCACAATTTATAAATCAAAGCTTTCTCTAGCTAGAGAACATTTCCCTGCACGTTTCCACTGCCCTGCAATGCAGGGAGGGTTGCTCCATGACAGCCTTTGATCCCAGATATTCACAACGAGCTGCTCTTACAAATATGACTGGATGACTCAGACTTTGTGGCAGCATCCAGTTCCCGTAAGGCAGAACCCAGCTATGTTCTGCACATGGAGGATTTATTCTGTTTGAATTTCATGGGGCTGATGATTTGTGTCAAGTCTGAGCCTTGGCAAAGGGCCTTTCACTGGGATGTAGGTCCTAGACAAGTTTGCAGTTATTATTTATATCCAGGCAGCGTGAGTTACTTGATGAGCGAAGAACTCATACTTGCCCCAAAGGTGAAGGTTATAATTTCTTCCTCTCCTAATGAAAAACAGTTCAGAAAATTTGATTTTTTTTTTCTGGGGGCAAAATACACATTTGGATTGAATTTAGAAATCTGCAGCTTCTACAGATAAGGCTTTTAAAGAACTGAGGTCTAGGATGGAGAGGAGGGGTGGCCTGATGCATCATTGCATATATTTCTGACTCTCCCATAAGGTAAACCAAATGATTCAATTTGTGTTGTTTCTGCCTTGAAAAATAAGACCTTGTACTCCTGTAGAAGTGGTGAGGAGATAAAGTCCACACATGGTGATTTTCCTGGATTCTCCAGCCACACGACATACATTAGGTTCTCAGGTGGGTTCTGAGGTATCATAGCTTTGCAGCCCTTTTAACCCAGATATCATTGTGCTGCTTTTGGGTGATTTAGGATCCCCAAGTCAGACTTCACATGCTGTCCCATGCCATGCCAGACACATGCTTTCTCTTTGTCTAATGTCTCTATGAATGTGCTTAGCATCTGTGAAGAGAAAGTTATTGTGAAGAACTCCATCCTATCCCTGTCACGTTAAAGACAAAATTTGCCAGAATCCACTTCTAACTGGAAACATGCTGAAACTTGTGTTTCTGTCCGTAATGGGAAACCCCTGCAAACAGCTGGACCCCTCCTTGAATGCCTTGGGAACTCTAAAAAGCTCCTAAAGGAATTTGACCTTATTTGTAACTCTCTTAATAAAGCCTCCACTTTGCTGCCAGCATGTGCAGAGAGCATACACAGAGCATAGGGAGGTCTCTGAGGAAAGGGCAGTTTGCAAGCAATGAACCATTAATATGCCTTAGCCTAGCAAGCCCTTTGCCCCTTTTTCTTGCTGTTTACAGCTGCCTCTGCCTGCATCTCCAAGTGTCTTATTTATACCAAGAGAAGCCAATTTAAAAAAACATCCTTTTCCTATGTGTATCTGAATGCAAGGTAATGATCTAATTAGGAGATTGAGGAGGAAGAACCTGAATTTAAAACAATTGCTCTTTTTATCACTTAGTGGAGTGATCTTTGATCATATTCAGGACACCTGACATGTTCACGGTATTAATTTTTACAGTAGCTACCACTCTGAACTACAGAGAATGAGACAGATGTATTCAGCTGACCCCTAACATCAGACTCCAGGTCTCCTTCTCAAGGACCTTGTCTCTCTCCATCACGTATACAGAAAACCCAAAGCAATTTAATTCCTCATCCTGGGTGGAAGGAATCTGGGTTTGGTTTTGGAGTAGGCGCGAGATCGTGGGAACCCTGGCTCCACAGCCTAGCTCTGGGTCATGGGGCGTGGGTTAAGCCGAGTAGTCTGCTGAGAATTGAAATGTCCTTGTCACTTAACATACAAATTCTCTCTTGTGCCTCAGTAGGGGCAAAATGGATGTGTTTACAAAGCCCTGAGGAAACTCAGATGGTCAGTGGTGCTTTCTAACTCATTGGATCTGATAACGAAAGAGCAGTGGAATGAGTTCAGCAAAGAAACCAGGACTTTAGGTACTCATTCTGTGGCATTTTTCATTCTAATGCAGTGACAGAAGGTGATCCAACCCAGTTTGTTTTGACTTCCTCCTCTTAAAGCAGATGTATATATGACTTGAAGCAGAACCCTCGTGTAAATATTTATTGCACCATATAAATAATGGATCCTTC